TATCATATTTAGCCATTAAGTTTTAACTCCTGAATTTTCAAGGGGACACATTCAAACCATAGCAGATACCAATAACTAACTTCTTAATAGTTTGACAGGACTTAGTTCATTTTGAACCTCCTATTATTTTTCAGTAATGAGAACTGGTGAACTGAGAAGATGGGTTCAATGCAGCAATTATGACTATTTCTCTCAGGGGCATGCAAAACACGTAAGAGGACAGTATGCCATTAATACATGTGGGTAGCACCAGTAATATTTTTCTTTCTTCTTTTTTGAGTCGGAGTCTCACTCTGTTGCCCAGACTAGAGTGCAGTGATATGCTCACGGCGACTGCAGCCTCAACCTGTTGGGCTCAGATGATCCTTCTGCCTCAGCCTTCCAAGTGGCTGGAACCATAGGTGTGTGCCATCACACCCAGCTAATTTTTTTATTTATTGTAGACACAAGGTCTCACCAAGTTACCCAGGCTGGTCTCAAATCCCCAGGCTCAGGCAATCCTCTCGCCTCTGCCTCCCAAAGTGCTGGGATTATAGGCGTTAGCCACAGCACCCAGACAGCACCATTAGTATTTTCTACATAATATTTACATGATATTTTTACAGGTATTCTGGCCATGTTATCTGAACTAGTATAAAAGAGATAGTAGAAGATTTTTTGCTATTCTGCTTTAGTAAAGAATCTCTGCTTGTCTTACCTATTGACTTATTAACAATATTAAAGGCAGACTGCCTGGGAATCAGTTTCTTAAAAGAAGAAAATGAAAAAGAAGTGATGCAGCATTTGTAAGGGAAGGCTGTTTCCAAAGTAGAGAACATGAGAAGAAAAAGTAAACAGGCAAGAAAACAAAGAAGAAAAGGAAGTAAGCATAATTATATGGCCAGAAAGTGACTGCAAAAAAGTTTTATACAAAAGGCAAATAGTTAGAATTTGATGAGGAAAAAAGAATAAATTGTAAATTCCTTTTGTGCAAAGGAACTGGCACAAATGACTGAAATTAACATATCAAATTGAATAGAGCAAAACAAATTTAAAGTAAACACTAAAAAGTGTCCTTTAATTTATTCTCATGATATAAACTATGATATTATAGGCAGCATAGGAAAACATTATTTAGAAGTACATTTTTATGGCTCATCCATTAAACTGGAACATGTAATCCAAAAACTCTAGTACTTCACAAGAACACTTAATGGATCAAAACTGGATTTGCAAGGGAGAAATATGTTTAAAATGCATACACTTGGGAAGTTGATGTCCTGCATCTGAAGCAGTGGTACACTCATAGCTTAGTGAGCTCCAGAGATGCCTGGAGAATCTCTTGCTTGCTATAGTTACATTATTAGCTCACCAAGGTAGTGATGCAAGTGATCAAAACAATTGAACATTCAACTTCCACCTGAAGCAAAGTGAATTTTATACATGAGACATTCTCCACATCAAAAGGGAAAAAAAAATCACAGCTAAAGTAAAGTGTATCTTTGGAAGATATGGATCTTGTATTTAACAAATCAAGACTGAGAACCACCTGAAACTAAAGGTACAACACATATACACTATAAGGACATCACTGATGTCAAAATGCATGCAACTTATCTGATTTTTTTTTTTTTTTGAGTTGGAGTCTCACTCTGTCACCCAGACTGGAGTGTAGTGGCACGCTTCCGGCCATTGCAGCCTTGACCTGCTGGGCTCTGGCAATCCTTCCACCTCAGCCTTCCAAGTAGCCAGAACTACAGGGTGCGCTACCACGCCCGGCTAATTTTTTTTAATTTATTGTAAAGATGAGGTCTCGCCAAGTTGCCCGGGTGGGTCTCGAGCCCGCAAACTCAAGCAATCCACTTGTCTCAGCCTCCCAAAGTGCTGGGGATTACAGGCTGAGCCATCGAGCCCAGCTGATTTTATATTAAAATATCAACAACAACAACAAAAAAAACATGGAACCAACCATGTTAGCCATCGAAGTTGGACTGGATAAAAAAAAAATGTGGTACATATACACAATGGAATATTATGCAGCCATAAAGAAGGACAAATATATGGACTTTGCAGCAACTTGGATGGATTTGGAGTCGACCATACTCAGTGATTTATCAAAGAAACAAAAACAGAGTTCCATATGTTCTCACTCATAAACGGACCCTGAACAATTATAATAAGAAAGCGATTGGCAATACTGGGAAACTGTCAGGGGAGGGGGAGGGGGAGGTGGGATTGGCAGTTGAGGGAAAACTGCTAGGGAGGGAGGAGCATACCTCATCAACAAGGGTACCTGCATGATCAATGTTTATATACCTAACCCTGAAATGTACCCCACATCTTTATAATACAAATTTAAGATTAAAAAAATCAACAAAGCATTTCAAAAGATAGGCCCCAAAAGGCAAAAGAAACAGACCAATCTAATCCAGGAGTAATATGGCATCAATAAAAATCCACTGAAATAAGTACTTCTCTTATTCTTTTGGTTTGGAGACAATTAAAAATACACGTCATCCTTCCCCTTCATCCCCATCATTTCACACTCAAACTGCTAAAATTTTAAAGTCTGACAAAACAAGAGTTGGCAAGGATATAAAGAAATGGGAACTCTCATACTCTATTGTTGGTGAGAGTATAAATATATGCTCTGGAGAACAATCTGGTCTCATCTGGCAAGCATGATGAAGAAGCATATACCCTATGATTTCATATATCCTAGAAAAGCATTTGTACATATTATGTACATGGCCAAAAAAAGACATAAAACAAGGCTGTGTCAAAACTTGTTTGATATAGCAAAAGATTAGACATAACCTAAATGTCTATCCATCCACAGAAGAATGAATAAATTATGTTATACAAAACCATAGCAGTTAGATGAATTTGATCATCATGGATAAACTTACTTAAAAATATAAGGCAAGTGGATGCAGTGGTTCACACCTGTAATCCCAACACTTTGGGAGGCAGAGGTGAGAGAATCACCTGAGCCCGGGAATTTGAGACCAGCCTGGTCAGCCTGGCAAGACATCATCACTACAATAAATCAAAAAAATTAGCCAGGCATGGTAGTGCATGCCTGTAGTTCCAGCTATTTGGAAGGCTGAGGCAGAAGGATTGCCAGAGCCCAGAGGGTCGACACTGGGGTGGCCGTGAGTGTGCCACTGCACTCCAGCCTGGGCGACAGAGTGAGGCTCTGACTCAAAAAATAAATAAGGTTAAAAAAAAAAAGTTTGCAGAAGGGTACACAGAGCATGATGTATTATTTGTGTAAAATTTTAAACCACAACAATATAATGGAAAATATATGTGATAAAGTATTAAAAGATAGAAGGATACACACCAAGTTCAGAACAGTCATCTCTAGAGAAGCAAGGAAGGTACACAAGGAGTCTTCAAACATACCTGTGCTATTTTATAATTAACAAAAAGTGGTTTGGAAGGGGAAAAAAGTCTAAAAACTATTTGTTTATGCTAGTATTATATTTAGCAATTCTAGGATATAACATGCTTAGGAAATTTCATTCACTCTACTTATAAAGAATTCACATGAAAGGAAAATTCAGTAAGAACTAGCCTAAAACTGTGACTTAAAGTGGAAGAGAAGTCAATCAGGAGATTAAAAAGTACACGAGAAAGAACAAACATTGCCCCTAAGATTAAATATAGCAAAATCAGGATTAAATGATATTCAACACCATTTTGATGGGAAGATAATAGTTTTAACAAAAACAAATATGGTGAACTAAATGAAAGTTTTTATCTCCCCCTAACCAAACCTGCTCCTTCTCGTGTGTTCTCTATATTATTCCCATGCCCACTCCTGTCACCCTCTCCTCAACTTTCCTGGCTAATTTTGTGTCCATTAGATTTCAATTTTTTAAATGTCACATCTTCCAGACATTCTTCCTTCATGTCTTTTATTAAGTCCAGAAATAGGTTTCCTTCTTTGTGCTCCCACAGTACCCTGAATCTCCCCCACACAAGCACTCTTCATACTATACTGTAAGAATATAAGTACTCTAAATGGCAAGGGTGGTATGTGTCTTGCTCATTCTGCTTCCCTAGTATATATAACACAATAGCTAATATTAAATAGACACATACTAATCAGTTAATAGCAATACATGTTTTTTAAGCCAGAAACCAATTTTTAAAAATAAGATTATAATCTCATCAAAAGTGTTATGGCATTTAATATTAGTAGAAACAAATAAAATTTGCTAATTTGTACATTTAGAAGTCCAAATTAATTGAACTGTATTCCAGCATAAGAGATATTTTATGAAATATTATACCATGTTTAGTTTTACTAACTGATACTTTCATCACAAATGAAGGAAGATGAGAAACAAAACATTTGATAAACAATTCATCCCACTGATTTTTCTTACTGAGAAAATCACTGCAGTATTAAGATAGAGGCAACATATTTATTTCTCCAGATGACAGTGACAGGAGATAGTAAGGGTAGTAAGCCAGGAATTCATTTAAAAAATGAGAGATGACAGAAGTATTATCATGAAATTAGATGTAATTTTTTTTTAAAGGGCTTTGCCAAAAAAAAAAGGTCAGAAAGCAGGACGTTCTGCACTATAGAACACTTTAAACATCTATGAAGACCTAACACATCTTGGCTTTTAATCATTGAACATATAAACTTTGATGAGCAATTCTCTTATAGTTTTACACAAAGCATTCAAGTAGTATCAGGTATTCTGAAGAAAAGCATTTGAAAAAAAATGAGGACTTTTTTCCTTACACACTAAAATTGTCCACTTAAGTTAGTCTCTACAAATACAAGCTTTCATAGTAACAAGCAAGAAGCATAGTCACAAATACTAAGTCCAAAGGAAAGGGGAGAGTAGCTCTTTTGTCCTCAAAGTTTATGAAACAAACTACAGTTTAAAATCTTAAAATACAAAGTATTTTTAAATTTTTTACATTAACAATGTCCTAATGAACTAAACAGAGAAGTCAAGTGATAGGTATTTTCTGGACTGGAAGAATTATCTTACCTGGCAGATTACCCTTTGAGATGGTATCTGTATCCAAATTATAAGTGTCCTGGAGACGTAGCAGAGCTTTGGCTGCCCCAACTTGATCTTCATCATTAGGGAAGTACTGTCTCTGAATAGTTAGGTTAGAGATAAAGCCTTGAAAAAGAAAAATAAAAGCCTTTGTAGACTTCCAATAAAGTGTCTTTTTTTTTTTTTTTGAGTCAGAGTCTCTGTCACCCAGGCTGGAGTGCAGTGGCATGCTCACGGCCACTGCCACTGCAGACTCAACCTGCTGGGCTCACGTGATCCTTCATCCACAGCCTTCCAAGTAGCTGGAACTACAGGCACACGCCACTATGCCCAACTATTTTATTATTATTATTATTATTTATTGTAGAGATGAGGTCTCGCCAAGTTGCACAGACTGTTCTTGAACCCATGGGCTCAGGCAATCCTCTCACCTCAGCCTCCCAAAGTGTTGGGATTACAGGCATGAGCCACTGCGCCTGGCCAATACAGTGTCTTTTTAAGGATTTTTCAAAATCTGTTTTATTATCATTTTCCACCATACCATGAAAGTTCCACATGTTCAACAACAACACAAAATAAATACGCTGAATGAAACTTGACATTTCCCTAACTTGTTCAATTTTCTCAAAGCCTTTCTAATGTTGCTTAAGTAATCTGAGGTCACTGCATAAATTATATCTGTATTAGTAGGTAAAGATCAACTAACATAATAATTGTATTTTTAGGTCAGTAGAGGTGGCTCACGTCTATAATCCCAGCACTTTGGGAGGTTGAGGTGAGAGGACTACCTGAGTTCACAGGCTTTAAACCAGCCTGGGCAACCTAGTGAGACCTCATCTCTACAATAAATTTTTTAAAAATTAGCTGGGTCTGGTGGTGGGTGCCTATAGTTCCAGTTACTTGGAAGGATGCAGCAGAAAGATCACCTGAGCCCAGCAGGTCGAGACTGCAGTGGCCATGAGTGTGCCACTGCACTCCAGTCTGGGCGACAGAGTGAGACTCCAACTCAAAAAAAAATAAGAAAAAATTTTAAATTGTATTTTTAGTTATACAACAGAGCAAGAAAACAGAGTTCCTCCACTAAGTGTGAGAAATGAACAGATTTATGGGTTTGAAAATGACATTCATTTGCAACCAATTATACTTTCAGATACTAACAGATAGTAAGTAAAATCTGTGCTCTTAAAGTTGTTATCTTCAGTCATGTACCACATATTATATAAATACGTAAATATAAAGTTTGGTGGAAATCTTTGAAGGAAAGGTTAATTATATATTTAAGTTAAGCTAGTTGATTAAAATATATTTACATCTGTTTTATTACCAAATACAGTGCTCATCAATCAAGATTTGCTATACATAAGCTGGGCACGGTAGCTCATGCCTGTAATCCCAGAGACCTGGGAGGCTGAGGCAAGAGGATCACTTGAGCCCAGGAGTTTGAGACCAACCTGGGCAACACAGTGAGAACTAGTTTCTACAGAAATAAAAATAATTAGCTGGGCATGGCAGTGTAAGTCTGTAGTTCTAGCTATTCGGGATTAAAGCAAGAGGATAGTTTGAGCCCAGGAGTGTGAGGCTACAGTGAGCTATGATCGCACTACTATACAGCACTCCATCGTGGGCAACAGAGCAAGAACACAGTCTCTCTATATGAAATCTCATCTTAATTTAAAGAGAATGAATACAAAGTATAGCAAAAACTAAACTAACAAACCAATTACTGATAAAACCAAAAAGTGTTTCAAAATTTTAATAAGTATTGTCTTTTGCAAATAAAAATTAGTTATGAGCCTTCCCTCTGTTCTCATTAACTTATAATCAACCATATGTATTATGAACGGCAAAAGGCCAGGCATTTTTACGCTAATGGAAACGTACAAACGAACAACAAGCTATAAGAGTTTAGACAAAGTTCATATCAAGCATATTTTTTAGGTCGTTCTTTTACTTTTCTTCTTAGAGACAGGGTCTTCCCATGCTGCCTAGGCTGGAATGCAGTGGCTATTCACAGGCACAATCTTACTGCTGATCAGCATGGAAGTTTTGACTTGCTCCATGTCTGACCATATTTTTAATTTTATGACCAACTCTCAGTCACAATCCCCACGTGGAATTTTTCAAGCAAGTTTTACAAGTTTTGCAGGAGACAGTAATATTTTTCATGCTCTAAAAAAACCCCAATAAGCTGCTTAAATATTCTTTTTCATAAAAAGAGAAAAAACAAGCTGGGTTCGGTGGTTCAGTTTATAATCCCACGCTTTGGGAGGCAGAGGTGAGTGGATTGCCTGAGCCCGCGGGTTTGAGACCCGCCTGGGCAACTTGGCGAGACCTCATCTCTACAATAAATCAAAAAATTAGCATGCCTGTAGTTCCGGCTACTTGGAAAGCTGAGGCGGAAGGATCGCCGTAGCCCAGCAGGTCGAGGCTGCAGTGTCTGGGAGTGGCCACTGCATTCCAGTCTGGGTGACAGAGTAAGACTCCAACCCAACAAAAAAAAAAATAAAAAAAATAAAAATATGTATCTCATGGCATTGTGGGATGACTAACAGATTAAAGTACCAAAGTCCTAAGGTTCACATTTTAAAGAACTTAGTTCACACATGTCATTATTTGAGAATAAAAATTTATATACATAGCCCTAAAAATGTTTTCAGGGTGTAAGGCATTTCCCTCTCAAGAGGTATTCACAAGTACTTGCCTTAAGTTTTTGTTTCAAGGTTTCCATCCAAAGCATAATAGTTTACTGCACTGCTTAGAAACACTAGTAGGCACCCTTAGGGTATTTCATCTACATAACTAACTCAGCTCTTTCCTTCTCACCCTCTTTTTTTTTTTTGCCACTTTTATTCAGTCAATAAATATTTGAGCCTCTATTATGTATTAAGTGTAATCCTTTTACTTCCTTAAACTCCAGACTTAGTCTTCTATGTCTAAAGTATCCAAAACACCTCAACACCCCAACTTCAATTTTACTATTTCACGTAGAAAAAGATTCATTTATTATTAGTTTGCAGTCTCAGTTTTTAAATGTATTGTCTACACTGAGTAAACTAATCCTAAGATTCAAAATACTAGGTAGGACACAGCTATCATTTCTCTTTATAGTAACACTCCCAACATTTTAAAAACTGATTGCAGGCTGGCCATGGTGGCTTACACCTGTAATCCCAGCACCTTGGGAGGCCAGGGTGGGGGAATGCTTGAGCCTAGGAATTTGAGACCAGCCTAGGCAACGTAGTGAGACCTCGTCTCTACCAAAAAAAAAAAAAAAAAAATTAGCCAGGCACAGTGGCATGCACCCGTAGTCCTAGCTACTTGGGAGGGTGAGGTGGGAGGATTGCCTAAGTCCACCATGATCATGCCACTGCACTCCAGCCTGGGTGACAGAGCGAGACCGCAACTCAAAAAAATAAAATAAAATAAAATTTGATTATAAAGATTTACACATAAATTTTTTAAATATGAAAGTAATCCTAAAATAAAAATGATTACCCTAAGAAATGAAGCTATATGCCAAAAAATGTATTCACTTTTGTAGATTTCAAAACACAAAAAATCACCAGCGTTAGTCACCAGTAGCAGAAATTACGTCTTCTTTAGTCAAATAATTCAGGATCTTTTCTTAATTTATTCAAACCAAATGCACCCAAGAAATATCTGAAAATCCAAGTTACAACACTGAACACTTGATGTTCTGGGAACCAAATTTATCACTAACTTTAATAATTCTACAGGTGGTAGCAATATTGCCTTACTCATTAGTCTTCTCGGACTTACCATCTGACATGTCCTTAAGGACCAGATTCTCCAACTCACTCCACTCAGTATTCAGACGTTTCATTAACTTGAACGCATTAACAGGATGCCCAACAAACCCTTCTGGATCTTTTGTTGCTGTGCTAGTTAGCCGATCTAACTTCTCTGCCCATCTACAAATATAAAACATAAAAACAGAGTATACATATACTTCATAAGGTAAAACTATTTAGTAAAGCACTCAAGGGGGAAAAGACTAGAGATTTTTTAGTTAAATTATATCTATAATTTCTTTTTAAATTAAAATAACAAAGACTCTTTAAAAAGCAAGATCCTGGGCAACTCCTTTGGTTCCCCTCCCACCATGGGAGCTTTTCTGTCTTCTCAATAAATCCTGCTATCAGACCAGGCTTGGTGGCTCATACCGTAATCCCAGTACTTTGGAAGGCCAAGGTGAGTGGGCTGCCTGAGCCTGTGGGTTTGAGACCAGCCCCAGTAACTGGGCGAGACCTTGTCTCTACAATAAATCAAAAAAATTAGCTGGATGTGGTAGCAAGCGCCTGTAGTTCCAACTACTTGGAAGGATCATGTGGAAAGATCGAATGAGCCCCAGCAGTCCAGCAGGTTGACGCTGGGGTGGCCGTGAGTATACCACTGCACTCCAGCCTGGGCAACAGAGTGAGACTCCACCTCAATAAATAAATAAATAAACAGGCACGTAAATAAATAAATCCTGCTTTCTCACTAAAAAAAAAAAAAAGTAAGATCCTGGCTGGGCACAGTGGCTCACACCTATAATCTCCACCTTAGGAGGGGGGAAGACTGCTTGAGGCCAGAAGTTTGAGACCAGCCAGGGCAACATAGAGCAACCCTTTCTCTACAAAAAAAAAGGTTTTTTAATTAGCTGGGTGTGATGGTGTACACCTGTAATCCTAGCTACTTGGGAGACTGAGGAAGGAGGATTGCTTGAGCCCAGGAGTTTGTGGATGCAGTGAGTTATGATCGCGTCACTGTACTCCAGCCTGGGCAACAGAGTGAGATCCTATCTCAAAAGAAAAAAAAAGGGCAAGATTCCCCTCACGGATAAGATCCAACTTGGAAGAATCAAAATACAACTATATACTCTTTGTTTTACTTTTGTTTCTCCCAAATGGTTACAATAAATGTATTAAGTTTTATCTTAGTAAAACTTGTGATTCACTCCCTCTAATAAAAGTCTAAAAATTCATTTCCCCATAGGTCCTAAGGTCAAATAACTGATTATTACAAAGTACAAATTAGCCATCCAAATTCAGTCACATGTTAATTTTAATCAACTTATACCCAATTTTTTTTTTTTTTTTTTGTCAGAGTCTCACTCTGTTACCCAGGCTGGAGTGCAGCAGCACACTCACAGCCACCCCAGCGTTGACCTGCTGGGCTCAGGCGATCCTTCCACTTCAGCCTTCCAAGTAGCTGAACTACAGACGTGTGGCACCATGCCCGGCTACTTTTTTTTTTTTTTTTTTTTTTATTGTAGAGACAAGGTCTCACCAAGTTGCCTAGGCTGGACTTGAACCCATGGGCTCAGGCAATCTTCTCGCCTCTGTCTCCCAAAGTGCTGGGATTACTGGCGTGAGCCACCACATCTGGCAACTTATACCCAATTTTTACATCCAGTATCTGAGGCCTATATTTTATAACAAAAAACTGAATAATTAGCTACTCACTAAATAAAAGACAGGAATTCTCATGTCAGGATTAACTCTGAATCTAAGTTAATAAAAAATAAATTGGTATTTGAAAAGAACTGTATCAAATAGCTAATACTAACCATACTCATCATTATAACTATACAATGGAACCAAAGGAGTAAAGGATAAATAGAATTAGAAAGTTACTCCAGGAAGTAACTTAATTGTAAGGGGGGAAAAGAAGGGTAGAAGATATTAGCAACACTTAAAATCTGTCAGTCGATTCTCTATATCCTTCCACATTCTTATCTCAATCCATGTTCTTCCATGTGAATCTTGGTCCAGACTTCACTCTCATTCTATACTCGTATTTTAACCATTTCACCTGGCTTTGTAAGACTGAAAGATGGCTTTCATTTCTATTCAAAGAATGTTTTGGCTCAAAAAAGGAAACATCCAGGTGGAATTACAATCATAAGTAAAACATTTTGCTTACTTTTTTACTTGTTCCAATTTGTCCTCTTCTGCCTTAATATAATCTTTCAGAGAAGTCACCAGATCTTTCTCAGTATGAATTAAATCAGTCATCTGACCTAGAAGGAAAAAGGGGAAGATTATCAACACTAATATTCCTCAACACAAATATTTTACAATAATTTAAGAATGATTGAGAATGCATCATTCTACAAGAAGATTTAACTGGCATGAATCAGATATGCTGGAGTCACTTTTTTTTATTAGATAAATCAAAATAAAGCCACAAACTTTTCTAATCAAGCATTTCAGTTCTAATTTTATAAGCTTAGACTATGTTGGTAAATATCTTTTCATTTACAAATTTATTTTCATATTGCAAAACAACACTACTTTCCAAAGATCATTTCTTCTTCCCTACTTCTCCCTTACTTTTGTTTCTAAGACTAATCAGAATTGAAATTGTTCAATTAAAAAACCCACACTTTAAAAAGTTTCAAATAAGGCCGGGTGTGGTAGCTAACACCTGTAATCCCAACACTTTGGGAGGCAGAGGTGAGAGGATTGGCTGAGTCCAGGGTTTTGAGACCAGCCTGGGCACCTTGGCCTGACCTCGTTGCTACAATTAAAAAAAAAAAAAAAAAAGTAACTGGATGTGGTGGTGCACACCTGTGGTTCCAGCTACTTGGAAGGCTGAGGTGGAAGGATCACCTAAACCCAGAAGATTGAGGCTGTGGTGGTGTAAGCGTGCCACTATACTCCAGCCTGGGGTACAGCTTTTTAAAAAAATTCTGGCTCAAAAAAAAAAGTTTCAAATAATCTATATTTAGTTATTTATAATAGGATGAGAGGACTCATCGTTTTACATTCTGAAATCAGGTGTCATAAATATGTAATATTTATGTTTTAGTCTGCTCTACAATTCCACAGGGTAAAACTGGTCAACACCATGAAGGAAAAATCTCATTTAAGATAGATGCATACAAGAAAACAAAAGGATACATATCAAACTATGAGGAATATTCTAGGAGGCAGGGGACATGGAGAAATTTTATATTCTACGTAATTCTGTTTTGTCTCCTTTTAACCAATATGCTATTTTATGCAGTACTGTTAAAGATTTTTTTAAAAATTATGATGTAGAAAAAAACTACTTGTGTTCACAATAAATTAAAACTAAAAAAGCAAGTTTGAACATAATATGCAGTATATTACTTGGGTATCTATGCACTGAAAAAAAGACTACGCATACTAAATTATTTGCTGGATAGACACATTAATGGATAACTTTCTTTGACATGTTTTTTCTAAATTTTCATAAGTTTCTAACCTGAATATGTATCATCTTTATAATCAGGAAAAAAGTTTAAAGAAAATACTAAATTAAGAAAAAGAGAGAGGACCTTTTAGGGGAACAGGAAGCAAACCAATGCTTCAGCCTTTGGGATTACACTGTATTTGTTTTTATTGATTTAAAACACTAAATAATGGAAACTTTTAAATGCAAAAATACCGCAAACCAAAAAACAGTAAAACTTACCAATTGACGTAAAAAAGCCTGGATGGGCCAAAGACTGAGGAACTATAATCCCTACAATTAATATATACCAGATCATCTTGGAAGACTTGATTTTGTAAGATCAAAACCTACAAAAGAGAGAGAAAAACACCCATTACTTTAAAAAAAAAAAAAAAGAGAAAGAAAAGAGTTCTTCTTTGCCCATTATTTCCATGAAAAAAGTAAAAAACTCCAAGGCTATTCATAGAATTAATATTAATTCTTATAAATTGCTTAATAATTTAATAATAGCTACCATCTTATTCTCATATAGAGTACTATCCTGATATTTTATATGAGAGAAAAAAATATGTTTGTTATTATCTGATAACTTATGCTTAAAAATTCAAGCTGAGTTTATTTTCTCCTTAGTTACTATTATAATTAAAGTAATTGAATAGGAATGGCTCTTTCATACAGCCTGATATAAGTTTTCTCTGTGATCTAGATCTAAACCATAAAACATACTGATTTATTAACTTATTTTTAAATATTAACAATACATTTTCCAGATGTTAGAATGTTGTAAAGAGATTTCAAAGCTTGTTCTATAATTTCCCTGTATAACTTAACATTTTTAAATAAATTCAATTGAAAGTTGTAGATTTTGGAATGAGAAACATGTCCTACAATTGACTGGCTGGATGCAGTAGCATGTGCCTTAGTCCTACCTACTCCAGAAGCTGAGACAGGAGGATTGCTTGAACCCAGGAGTTCAAGCCAGCCTGGGCAACAAAGCATCACCCTATCTGTAAAAAACAAACGAATAAATAAAATAAAATTGACTGTGATGACTGACTATGGTTGAACAACTCTGTGAAAGTACTAAAAACCACTGATCATGAATTTCAAATGGGTGAATTATATGGTATGTGAATTATATTGCAATGATACTGTTTTTTAGATTTGTTTTGTTTTAGAGACAGAGAACGGGGATTGTCTCGTTATGTTGCCCAGGTCGGACTTGAACTCCTGGGCTCAAGTGATTCTCCTGCCTAAGGCTCCTGAGTAGCTGGAATTTCAGGGGTGTACCACTACCCTGGTCTGTTTGTTTTTTTGAGTTGTAGAGAATTCAGAATGAATAAACAGTCCTTCCCACTTAAACCAGTAATTTATTTCAAAGGACCCAGACTTCAGTGTTTCTCTTATCTACTGCATTCTACATTAAAAAAAAAAAAAAAAAGAAAAGAAAGAAAAAAGAAAAATATCTTAACTTAGGACATAGCTGGGGCTTTCTTTTTTCTTTTTTCAACCCTGCAGCAACGCCCTTCTGTCTTTCTGCTCTATGTCCCTGGTAGCATTGTCTTTTCTAGTGAGGATTCATCAGGCAAATAAAGATATCAACTAACTAGTAAAAGGCTTTACTATGCTTTCCCAGATGCCCTGTTGCACTCTTCTCTTGCTCCTTCTCCACCACAAACATGGGCCTTATTACCTTATAGGAGAATAAGTTACCCATACAATATAGTTTGCCCTAGTAACAAAGCTCCCTTTGGTTACTCTGACTTGACACCCTGTTCCTCTTTGTGCAGGCTCCTCTGACACTTCCCATATGACCTGAGCTAAAACCAGCAGGTTCTAATCCACATTGAAAGCTCCCCATTCCACAAAAGCTAAAAAATAATCCCACTTTCCTTTTAACTTGAATCTCAATAAAAATAGATACCCACAAAAACTAGCATTCTGAAAGTAGTTCTAAATCTCCTCCCTCAAGTCTGCTGCAAACTTCCAGATACTTCCAGAATCACACAGTAGTGAAATACACTGCTCTCTTGGCTACGTTACAGCACTTTGGAGAAGGTTTCTAGAATGTAGCAGATGTAGACACTTCCTCTCCTGGGATCCTGCCAAAGCACAAGACTTTTTCAAAACTCTGGGCTGTCTAAAGAGCCTAGAATTTTCTGTTTAAACAGATTTCTGTCATAATTTTTTTCATGGATAAATGTCATTTCCAAAAAACACAAAATCATAAATGGCTGAACTTTTAACTCTGAAAGAGTTTAGATTTGTGAGATAACAGGTTATTTTTTTCGTTGCTAAAATACACTCACAAAGTTTCTTTGTAATCTCTCATTGTCCTCAAACCTCACAATGAATCAAGAACCATAAGCCTACAGAAATGACTAAAAAGAAGCTTAACACAGGATTTATCTTCAAATACAATAGCTTGAATATTTTTAAAATGCTAGCACTTACATAAAAATTCAAAACATTAATATACCTTTACTTTACATCATGCTTCAGAATAAATTCTAGATAGAATAAGCAGTTGTCAACAAAACAACATAAAACAATAACAAAAGAAAACTTATCACATCTCTGAAAGCAGAGAATTTCTAAACTTAAAAATGAGAAAATAGGGCTGGGCATAGAGGCTTGGCCTATAATCCCAGTACTTTGGGAGGCCAAGGTGAGAAGATTGCCTGAGCCCAGGGGTTCGAGACCAGCCTGGGCAACTTGATGAGAATTCATCTCTACAATAAATCACAAAAACTAGCTGAGCATGGTGGCGTAGCTAGTGGCAGCTACTTGGAAGGCTGAAGCGGAAGGATCGCCTAAGCTCAGCAGGTCAAGGCTACAGTTGCCTTGAGCGTGCCACACTGTACTCCAGACCACCGTGACAAATAGTGAGACTCCAACTCCAAAAAAAAAAGAGAGAAAACAATCTATCAAAAGTCAGATGAGATTTAAATACACAAAATAGTTTATATGTTTAAAAAAACCTATAAAATACAACAAAGTAGAAAACCATATAAAGTAAATAGACCTCTTTTAAGGAGCTCATACAAATCAGTGAGAAAACCACTACGATGCTAATAAATAAGCAGCTAAAGAATTTGGCACACCACAAAGAGAAAATATAAATAGTTAACGAAACAAAAATAAATGCTCAAACTTATTAGTAACTAATGACATAAAAAAGACACCATTTTTGCCCATCAAATAATTAAACAAATTTAACAAAGTAACAACTAAAATTAATCTAATGATGTTGTTATATGTCAAGAAACGTACAAGAAGCCTCAGTGGCTCAGCCTGTTATCCCGCGCTTTGGGAGGCAGAGGTAAGTGGATTGCCTGAGCCCACGAGTTCAAGACCCGCCTGGGCAACTTGGCGAGACCTCATCTCTACAATAAATCAAAAAATTAGCCGGGCGTAGTAGCACGCGTTTGTAGTTCTAGCTACTTGGAAGGCTGAGGGGAAGGATCGCCGAAACACAGCAGGTCGAGGCTGCGGTGGCTGGGAGCGGCTACTGCACTGCAGTCTGGGCGACAGAGGGAGACTCCAACTCAGAAAAGAAAAAAGAAAGGAAAGAAAAAAAAAAGAAATATACAAGAAACATATCCTTTAACTTGTGAAGTGAAAAAATAAGATTGGGGTTCTGGTAAGATGGCGACAGCACAGGTGAAATTGTGAGATTCTCTGAACGTGAGTTCCCAAAAAGACTCTTACTTTCCTTCCCCCACCCCCCTGCCCTCTGCCAGCTGCACCAGTCCGAGGCCCGGGACCCTCGGTCTCATGCAGGGCCAGGTATTGCGGCTCCTGGCTGCTGCTGCTCCACTATACGTGGCCCCCACCTGCCGCACGGGAATCTCAGCTCCCTCCCTGGCTACATTGTCTCACCCAGTGCCAAGCCCCCGGTCACCCAGGGAGGCTCTAGGCACCCGCCCCTCAGAGATACCAGCTCCATTTCTGGCTGAAGTACCCTGTGAGGGACCCAAAGTCACTCTCACCGCTCACCACCTGCCCTTTGGAGCTCTGGGCCCACCCTGGCTGAGGCACCCAGCATACGACCCCATGCTTGTGTAAGGGAATAGCATATCTTAAGGAGGTGCTGGGAATTCCCAGCTTCCTCCTCCACCCCAGTCTGCTGGTGGCACACCGGATCCAGCATCCAGCTGTGTAGCTGATCCCCAGTGCCTCGCATGCCACCACAGCCCATCATAGTAGATCACCCAGAGACCCAGACAAGCAGAGAGAAAGGATCCGTGAAAGAGGAGCTGCCCACCTCGGCCATTTTCCAGGCAGAGATTTGCATTGCCCTGCCCACCTACGAGCAGCCTCCACCTTGGTTCCTAAGGTAACGTCGCTAAACAGGAGACACATCCCCTCCCCTACACTGAATCAAACACAGGCAACTCAGCATCGCAGACCTCTCAGGCAGCAGGCTAAAAGAACAAACCCAAGCTGCGAGCAAATCTAGCTGCCTGCAAAGAAAGCAAAGGGGAGAGGCTGGAGATCAGAGCTGAAGAGACATTAGACAATCGGGAAAGATTCCAGGGCTAGTCTGATTTCTTATTTTGACTTTTGATTTTATCATTTTGACTGTTTGTTTTGCTCACTTTTGTTTGCTTTTTGACTTAGACTATCTGTTTGGGTTGGGGAAAACACATCAAAAGGCATGATTTTATTGGACTCTCTTTGTGTGGTTACCGGTACGCTTTAGGGAACTTTGCTTGTGTGTCTTTTTCACTTCTCTCTGGCCTTGTGTCTCTTTTTCACCTGTTAGTTGGTATGTATGTCTGTTTTCCCTCTCACTCTTCTCTCTTTCTAACTTCCTATTGACCCCCTCCTTCCTCCATTATTTTCCTTTCTCATGCCTCCTTTTGTTCCAGGGACCAAACCTACATCCCGCTGCATAGACAGATTGTAAGGCAGTGGGAAATAGGTTCCAGTATGCCAATACACCTGTTTGTGGATGCTGGAATCAGCAGATAGATTCTGAATCACAGTTTCCCCCTCAATTAAACCTCAAAAATGCAAAAAGTACAGCCCGCAGCCCATACTCCAGCCTCAAAAGTGAACAAAGTCAGAGGACCCTCATAAGGAAGAACAGGAGATTGCATAAGCGAAGCAAAAGCAATCCCACCGTCCCTGAAAAACAGAATTAAAGAAGGGGAGGGAAAGGGGGGGAGAGAGAAAAATCTACACAAATGAAGAAAAACCAAAAGAAGAATATGGGTCTCTCCCAGACCCCTGGGAGGGCAGACACAGAGAAAACTGACTCTGGAATGCAAACAGTGAAGAGCCCCCAGAATGACTGGTCCCAAACTACAAACCTAGATATCAAGATATTACTGGAGAGATT